CGTATAGTCTGACATTAGTCAGTCATTAACAGTAAAAGGGTCAGCTGATTATGGAATCCAAGAAGGGCAGTAAGATGTGGTTTAAGTTCCATTTCATTGCATTTTATTACAAACCCTTCAACAGGAGCTTGTGGGCTATACAGAAGCAGAAGGAATAAACAGAATTGTGATAAATAAATGAAACTCACTTACATCAAATCAGAACAAACGGCTTTGCTAAAGTAGAACATAAACCCACTGAGCACCTTTCAGCAGCTGTATCAGCAGAAACCTGATGGGCAATCCCAATAAGTGTCGCTCCCAATTGGCTCTCTTTGGAGCTACGCTTCCTGTAGTCACTAACAGACAGCCCCTCGCCCCCATACCTCCTAATATATATGTGTGTGTTAGCAATTGAATGTTTAATGCCAGTCCCCCTTCCCCCTCTCTCCATTCGCCCTGATCACTGTGAGTGCCATGAATTTTTAAAGACATCCCTTCTTTACTGTCCATCTGGGCTCCATCTGCCCAGTTGCTGGTGTTTAAAGCAGACAGAGACACAGGACAGGATACTTCAAAGGCTTTGCATGGCCTCTGGCCCGAGGAGGATAGTGTTCATAAAAAAGCTAGCCTTTTATGCTGGCATGTGCACCACAAAGAGACAACATAATAACTGAAACCTGATTGTTATTGTACATCAACTTTGTTTTGAAAAGCTCAGTATTTCTAAAAGGTGATCAGGTCAACACCAGAATGCATGAAATAATAAATGAAGCTGCTATAAATAGTTATCCTTCATTTTATGTAAGAATTTCGATTCCTAATTTGATTTGGATTTTTAACTCTCTCTCAAAGCTTTCCAAGTTTTTATCAATAATTATGCCATAACAAAGCCTCCACTCAAATCGCCCAGTATTTCAGTGGAGATTGATGGAAACAAATGCATGCAGGTCTCCAAGCTATAGGCTTAATTTAATAACTTGCTGGGAATAAAAATGGAGTGTGATACTGATACAGATAATTCCAAGAGTCAGACATATCAGGGACGCTCATACATGTGTTCCGTTTGCGGCGCTATCACTGAAATAGCTTCACCAGACATACAAATCAAATAATCCAACAACCCTGGCATTATTTGATATCTGTGTAAATCCTCGCTCTTTTATTTCACTTGGCACCGCTCTGCCTCGGCCAGATATGAGGCAGCTGGCAAAATGCCTTGAATAGTCTGATTAATTAATTTAAAACCACAGCGTAATCAGACATCCGACCAGGGCAGACCTCTCGGCTTCATTTAGTCTGACCTTTCAGGCGAAAGAGGCGAGATAGAGGGAAGGTGGCTGGGTGATCCACCAGGAATGCAGGTTTGCTGATATATCTTTCCACCACAGCCTGGGGCAAACCTTGACTAAAAGCTGGGTGTGGGCTGGTTTTAGTTCGCTGAATCCACATCTTGCGTTTATTGGATTTATATTGTGCACTAGAGCTTTTATGATCCTGTTGTTGTCTTGTAAAGTGATTAAGGATGCATTTTTTTGTAACTGTTTCTGTACAATGTTCTTATACATTCTCTCCTGTCCCCTGTGTTTGTAACCACTACTATGGACCTGTGGTGCCACACTGAGACATTATTTGTGCTGTACAAACATAAAGAAGAAAAAAGGGCAGTTTTCAGTTTGGAAGTGCTCCAACTGCTCTGCACTGATAGAGGCACGCAAAGTTTCTGCTGAGGATCTGAGCTTCCTAGTGGCCACATTATCACCCTCCATCAGGCACATTCCAACAGCCTCCACCCACCTGCCCAAAATAAACTGTACACTCTTAACCCCTTCCTCTCCACCCAGTGCCCTCCAAAGCACCCTACCAGCATATGACATGTCTGAACACATGTAATTGTAAGCTAGGAGGTTAGTGCTACCCATCAGACCCTCTTTTCGCCCCCTTCTGTGATAGAGATATTAAGTCTACACCGAAAACTTTTCATGATATCTTGATAAAAACGGACCATCAGCTCAGGGTTGCTCTGATGCAGCACTAGTTGCCCGTTTTGCGCAGTGATGACAAGTGCAATATTTTAACCAACATAAATTACAGCCTCACGTGTCTTTTAATTGCCACGAGGGCTTGGTGGTATGGACAGGTGGTGACAGGGATTTTTTTGTGGGTGTAGCTTTCCTGGCCTTGATAGCTGCATCATACAGTATTTTTATATGTTTCAGATGATTGCACAAATACTCAACGGTACATATAATCCCATGAAGCCCTTAATAAGCAGGTTTTATTGGGGGTTTTTTTTGCACAGGGGCATCTATGACTGTGCTATGCGCATGTCTATGCGCTCAGAGCGCGTCAACTCAAGTTTGCGCTGAAGCCGTTTGCAGATTTTACCGTTTTCCACATGACGGGGAGAAACCACAAACATTAGGTTCCGAACAAAAAAAGAAGAAGCAAAATAAAATTGGTGCACGCCACATACAAATTAAGGCTGAGGTCAACAATTTTGATTTGCTTGAGGTTAGAATTATCAGGGGACAGACTGTCTTCGTCGTGCCAGGCCACGGCTGCAATTATTTCCATCGACTGTAATCATCTGAGGGCAAAATAAGTGGATGTTCAAGACTGGAAAAACCTGGTTTTACAACGTTAAAGACTGTCGAGGAACACCGTGAGCTCGACACAGATTTTACTGTTGTTACCCAATTCCCTATATCATGCCACAATGCTGAGTTCCCTCTTCTCAGGCTTTAAGTTGTGTAGGCGTGACGCAGTGTTACTCAATCTATTGGGTATCTGACCAGTCACGGTGCTGACTGTCTTGATTATATAACGGTCTGCTGCACTAACACAGCCCTGTCTGATCCTCTGCTGACTGAGGTGCCATGATAAAAATAAAATAATAATAATAAAAACCCAAAAGTATCCATTCAAGTCGTTCACACAACATTTACAGAGGGAGGGGTGGACTATTTAGAGAAGCAGACTATAGGTTTTAGAGAGTTTGAGTCCACATGCTCTGTAATTACAAGAAATGCGCCTTAAATGACATAATCTATAGTTTGGTTTAAAACTGGAGCACATGTCAGCTAAGAGCAACGTGGCAAAGACGTTTGACTTAAAAACAAATAAAAACTAAAGTTAATTGTATTAAAAGCTTTTTCTCTTTTCCTCTGAAGCAGTTTAGCAGCTTGTCTGTTATCTGTCCTGATAAAATATGTTTTATGGTTAGAATTGTGCGACAGGACGTGAGGTTGCACTTTAATGGTGGCTTTCATTATGTAATAAACTGCTGAATGTGATGGCGGCTTAGTGTATATTACATTTTTAAACTGGCAAAACAACATTTAGTTGTCACATCATGCAGAAGTAGTTTTGTTGTTTTTTTTATTTAAGGAGGCTAAAAATACTTCTCTGTGAGCAGTTTTGCAATTTGCATAATTGCACATTTTAAAAATAATAAAGCTCATTTTGCTACTAATCTAAGTATTAGGGTTTGTATTTTGCTTTTCTTGTAGGAAAACCGCATTATCTGTGTGTCCTGTTTGTGTCAAATTTAAAAATACCGTAAATACAGTAAAGAATTCAGTTTTATATCACCTGAAATAAACTTTTAACCAACCGTCTTCCCGCTTGCGTTCCCCTTTTATCGACAGCTGCCCTCTATCCAAACTTAGCTGTTGACAGTCTTAAATCTCTTCACGTAAACAGCCCGTCTTTATTCCACCAGGGCCTCCCTCATAATATCCAGCCCACTAGCATGTTTACAGTAAACGCCAGCATGGCAAAGCTGTTAACATGCACTCTAACCCACCCACAGCCCTTCCTGATCCCTCTGAGCTCCTCTTCCTCAGCTTCCAGTCCTTCAAGACTGTTCCAAGGAACAACTTTCTTTCATTCTTAGTCCATATTAGTTGTAAAATCAAAAATCTCACCAGGCACCAAGCTGCCACCAGAAGAAATTGTCTCTTCAATCATCTGCCTTGACCAGAGCGTGAAGTGGCAAAGGCAAACTGAAAACCCTCACCTTAGCCTTTATCAACATTTTGCCCAGTGGCTAGTGCTAATTTCCCACCCTGGTCAGATTACATCACATGCCGCTGAGAAAGTGCAATAGAGTTTTAATGTGAATGGCTTGAGGGCCAGATGTGGCCCACTGGTAAACAACAAATATTTTAGACTAATCTGCTTCTTTGGCCAGAGTCCCTCCAGTCTACAGCCCTTAATACCATCAATCAGCAGTAATGACAGCAACAGTTAAAGCTGCGGACCTTCAAAAGACTTAAATGGCAACTACAGCTGGGGCAAAGATATAAGAAATAAGTGTTTATGCACGGCAGAGTATTATAATTTACAATGCTATTACTGAATTGGTCACATCTTAATAGTAAGACAACCTCTACTCTGATTCACTTTTATCATATCGCACCAGTTTGTTTAACCATTTTACCCAGCTCGGACTGAATCTGAAATACGTACATCCAGTTGCATTCACATAATCGCCTGGTATCTGGGAGATTGTTGTCAGCAGGGGGGTTAAAGTGGGCCAGAATGATCCAGAATGGTGCTCAGACACTTTCGGTTAATGAGCAATTAAATCTGATTGGCACATTTCCATTTTCACAAACTGCAATGGCTCATTTTAGCCAGTGTCACAGAGTCAGTGAGGTCACTCCAAGATCCTGCCTGCACGCTTCCTTTTTTTGTCTCATTTCTGTGATTTGTTCATGGTGTAGATATAAAGGTGTGTTCGAGGTACAGAAGTGGACTGAGTGATTCAAATAGCTCGATTAATAAGACACAGAAAAAAAACATATGTTAGTGTGTGATCATTTTGCTCCCCAAGCTGGAGAAAAATGCAAGCCACAATGGCAAATGTAACACGGCATTATATAATGCACAACGTAGCTGTTCCTCCTCACACACACACATCTGACCTTAGGGTTCCCCCACCTGCCAAATCCCACTTTAACCTCTAATTGTCGGTGCAGACATCCACACAGTAATGGACCAGAAAGTGATGGTACCTGTCTGAACTGCTCCTCGTAGGTCCAGTCTCCGTGGTCCTGCCCACTCAAATGGCTATGCGTGGTATGTGAATGCAGATGTGCTCCCACTGCTGAGCGGGACTCCTGCTCAGCACTGGGACGGACCTTCAGGAGCTGGGAATGGGGGTTAAGCTGACGGTGAGGCAGCAGGAGGATGCCCTTGCCAGGGGCCACTGCATCATGACCCGTAGGCAGACCTTCCTCTTCAAGGTCATCCTCAAAGTCTTCTTCCATCTCACCTTCAAAGTCCTCCTCGTCCCATTTCTGTTTGCTGTGTGCGTCACAAATACATTTATATATTGAAAAACTACACTACACACAGAAACTAATCACTAAAATTTTCAGAAAGGTCCAGCAAAGAAATTCACTTACATCTGTTCCTCTTCATCTGACCCCATCATGTCCTTGTATTGCTCCTCTCCTTCATCGTTGTCCTCATTATCGCCTTCCTCGTCACCACCACTGCTGCGCTCCGACATGGGGCTGTCTGACACCCTCTGCAGCCCGGCCGCCGCGGCACGCATGGCTGCAAGAGCCGCTATCTGAGTTTGCTCTGTCTCAGGTGCCGGGCTCCCTATCAGCTCATTCCCTCCGGCCATACGGACCTGAGTCTGTTGGGAGGCGGCTTGCTGCTGTAGCTGCTGCTCCATCAGTAGCTTGGCCCTCTGCTGCCTGTGCAGATTTTCCATGACGGCCTGCAACTTCATCTCCAGGGAAAGTGGCAAAGCGTTCAGAGGCCTTCTTTCCCCTCCCTCCCCTGCTGAAGGAGCACCAGTCGAAGGCCAGTCAGGGGTCAACAATAGGGGAGCAATAGCCAACTGAACCTGCGAGGAGGCAGCTAGCAGCCCGCTGTAGGTCTGGAGGTTACGGTTATGATGAAATGTGGGTTTCTGAGGGGGAGTGAAAGGTGAAAAAAAGAGGAGCTCGCTGACATGCAGTCAGAGGTTGGCTGCAGTTCTGAAGACAGAGGCCTCTCTCTTGTCTCAGTGGTTTTTCCTACAGTTGGGGAGAAACCGAAGCCGGTAGCAGAGGTGGCTGGTTCAGAGAGGCACAAGACGTGGAAGTAAAGGAGGGAGTACAAGTCTTTGCTGACAGCCTACAAAGACCTGAGGAAGAGAAAGAACAGAGCGTCAGATTGCCACTTCCCACTCTCTGTAAAGATCATTACCTGTTCAGATCACCCGTGATACTCATCTAGTAGTTTCTCCATTTTTGATTTTCTGCTTTCAATAATCCTGCAAGAAAACTATTCACTATCACTATTTATGAATAAACAAAAGTTCTGTAAAATCTCAGCGCTACCCTGACTACTCAAAAAAGGAAAACACAAAGGAGAACAAAATGTTTAATATTACTAACAAAAATGCAAATTGTAATTCGAGATTCCTGTGAAACACAAAATACACAGTCTTTAAAGGCAACGTACATTGTGAAGGATTAGTCAAACAAAACAAAACACGCGAGGAACAGGACAAACTGTTTCAACCTCAACAACAAGAGGAAGTGAAATCACAGGAAGAACCATCACGTTTTTTACCTGGTTGGCTAGGAGTCAAGATGAATTTCAGCCTACTGGCAAAAGATTTTCGACAACGCTGTCTCAGGTTGAATTAATATTCACACAAGTGTCACATCACTGAGGCTTCACTGCTGTGTTTTCCCCTTTAAGAGTGAGACACACAGTGGGGAGTTTTCTGAAAGTCACGTAGGTTGCCGTTGTTCTCCTACACACCTGCTCCATAAGTGCCCAGGTATGCAAAGCAGGCTGTACTATAAGCAGTGACCTTCAACCTATCGACAGTAACGACGCCGCAAAGATCCCCTGCTAAACCCCGCTAACCTAGAATCTGGTCAAAATGCTAAGAGGCGTGGGTTTGGGGAGGCTGTGTTTAGATCAGTCACATACAGATAAGAGCAGAGTCGACAGCACGAGGGGAAATGAAATTCAAGTGCAGGTGCTGGACATGCCAAGCTCCAGTCATGACAAGAAGCAGCAGTGACTGTACGCCAGTACTCATTCGGCTATGCTGACTAATATATGAAAGAAACTGATCTCGATAACCACCATCTGGCACGATCTTTGTCTTTCACAAACTTCAGATTTTGTGTTGCGTCTACTCATTGAGTATCCTTTAAATGAAAGCATGAATGATCGTCTTTTCGAGGTTAGCTCAATCTGTATCACAACTACATGCAACGCAGCGGCACACAAACACAGTTCTATAATTGTTTTTTCAGCTGATATCTCAGGCTTGCATTTGCTTTTCTTACAGATGACAACATCTATGAATCCCCTTTGAAAATGTGACCAGCACAGCAAACCTGGGCATAGCATACCTCATCATTACAGGTATTTTCTTGAGCACAGAGGTTGTTTTTCTCCAGCGTGCGGCTAACTGGAATTACACAGGAAATCTCACCAGAGTTTCACGGGTTTGGTAGTATAATTACATGTAGGCACGAGAGGGTAAACAGCGTATCCACTTTTCAGGCCCGCAGTTTCTTGAGGCTTCCAACTGAAAGCCATGGTGCCACTCACAGGAAAATTAACCTTTTTCCATATCTTGTGTTTACATAGCTGTGAATACTTGATAAGAACACATACAAGAATCCTGGCAATTGCCAAGAGATGTGTTTTTCCAATCAGCCAGTTTCTCAACAAGACATTCAAATGGAAAACAACAGCTTCTGCAACATTATACCTGTGTGACTCATGCGAAAGATCAACTTACATTTGCACAACATTAGTAATCTACAGAGAATTAATTGTGCACGACACAAATGACACACCAGACCGATGAATGAAAATTTGCACATGACACTATAAATTTAGGTGCCGTTTATGTTCCTGTACCTCCAAAATAAGTATACACTTCTTATACACCGAGTATTACAGAGTCACAGTCTGGAGTTAGGTGCAGCAAGAAGTCAAATTCAGCAGCAGAGCTGAAACCTTGCAGCTCATTCTGAGAAAATGCACTTCAGAAGCACAAACTTCTTCCACTACTAAGACTCGAAAAGCTTCAGAGGTGTTTGATATAGTGCAAGTTACGTCCCCTCACCCCGACATTATCATGCACCAATAAAAACCACAATAGAAATATTTCAGCCACTCTATACCATGGTGTTAAGAGAAATGTTGCGCAAGGAAACAAGAGCTGTGAAACTTTGTTTCCACATAGGGCGAAGGAAGTGACAACTGACGGAGCAGATGTAGTAAGGCAGCTGACAGATATTCAATATTGATTCAGTGCATTCTTTAGGGGCAATCGAGACGCAACTGAACGCCTGCAGTTGTCAGATGGAAAATAAAGCAGGATTACGGCGCCTCAATGAGCTGGATCTGGTTCGACTGAAACAACTTGTGCACGTTGTATTTACAGAGGGATCCAAGGGGAAAGACGCCGAGAATGACAGGAAGCAAACTCTCGACTATCCAGTAGCAATAAAGCACTAAATGACAAACAAATTCAACAACGCACTCGCACACGTTATCTTGATAGCGCATTTTGCTTAAAGTGTTTTTTTTTAAGAAGTCACACATCACAGTCACGCAATTTCTGGTGTTCACTTCATGTTTGTGCCATGAGCATTACAGCTCCGGATACTGCGCCCCTCTCTCTCTCTCTCCCTGTCATCTTGTCATATATGTAATTTCAAAGACAGAAGTGATTACAACAAAGCTCGTCTGTTGACTCTTCCTGTGCAGGGGGAAGCAGAAGTGGTCTCTTTGTTTCATGCCACTGATGATCAGTAACATGATTTCCTTCATACTAGATGGTGCAAATTATATTGCACCACTACATATGTTCTCTCCACTTCCCCAAATGAGGAGGTTCGCTTACTTCTAAAGACTTTCTATATGCATTGCAAACGACTACATTGCTGTTGTTGTATACTGCCTGAACTAAAAGAAAATCTGAATATCGTCGAATTTTTCTCATTTTATGTCTGGTCCTAACCAGAGATTCAGCTTTTCAGATTTTAGGTTTTCAGTTATGAGATAAGATATTTCTTTTTAATGTGAAACAACAAATCAGCTTCAGTTTTCCTTGGTTTCCCTGCTATCTGCCAAAACCTAAAATATTTGCTGTTGATTACCACATAAGCTCAAAAAAAAAAAAAAGATGTGTGGGAAACCTTAAAAAAACAAACAAGTAATAAGCGAGTAAGATGTTAACACTTATACATCTGTGCAGTAGAACTATATAAGCTTCTCACTTTTTGCATGAGCATCACATATTTTTGCCTGTGCGCCAAATGTTTTTTTTAAATCGTCTTTGCTGTCTGTCAGCAAAAAACAACAACATTTTCATGCTTCCATGGATCATTTCAGATGCTATTATTTCAAGAACACCTTGATTTGTTTTGGAGCTCTGACTTGTGAAGAGTAGCTAGATGACTAGTTTTTAAATCCCGGTCAGAAGGGGTGGGGGGGGACCTTCTGGTTTATATTGGAATCATAAAGCCGGGTACTTATTAACAACAGGATTCGGGGAGTTAAGAGCGCTTAAAAGAACTGATGCACTGCCACTACTCCTTTTTAACTGCAGCAAAATGGCCAGAGGTTGACTCTTGAGTGAGTGATAAAGCATTTAGTATCTAGACCACAGCTTGCTGTGAAATTTGCAGTGAAGCTGTCTGAGTGGCAATGGGTGATTTCCCTTAAAACCCCCTTCTGGGTCTTCTTTGTACTGTACTACACGTGAGAAATCAGCGTTCGTGGGGGAAATGTCTCCACACAGTCTTCGACTAGTTACATGAGTAATATTTAGAATATTTAGAAGCTGCTGCTCCACTAAGAAATTCTGTGTGTACAAGATCCTGTGGCAAGAAAACAAACAGGTTTCACGCCCTGTCTGTCTTCCTTTTTTGACAGTCAAAATGCTTTACAAACTCATTTACACCAAACAAATTATACCATGGTGTTGCTCCTTCTCTGGGAAACATTTCCATATCTCAGTATGTCGGGAAAAGGGGTTAACTCAGGAGTTTCTGAGAACTTGACAACAGCAGACAACTTCCTCTGCAGTTTTACTGCCACCTTTACGAGGGCTTACTGGACAACAACCCCACCAACATCTGGCTTTTGTAGTCGGTGGGAACAGGCACAATGGCCATTCATTCCTGTGTAAGTAGTCATGAGTATTTATCGCATCCAGCAACCTCTGTCACCTGCCTCCCACAGTGCTTCAAAACCAGAAACATGGCTCCAATATTTATTTATAAGGCATACGAGCTACACACCGCTAACCCCTCAGGTTTAGTCTTCCATTTGGACTAAACTGCAACAGTCTGCCTCCAAGTCTGTATTTACAACAAATGGATCAATTATATAGAACAGCACTTTATATGTACAACCAAATTATGAAGAATAGATCTCACAGGGACCACCGATAAAACCTCTGGAAGAAAGTCCACTTATTTAAAAAAAAAAAAAGAAAAAAAAAAAGACTGGCATTTGTGTGGATATATTCCTTGGGTTCATTTAACAGCTAAGTCTAAGTAGACACTACCTGCTGGGATAGATAGCAGGAAACCATGAGTGGGTGAGAGGAATTGAGGAACCACTGGCACAGAAACGTAAGCAGCTGGATGAATGGGGTATAAAAAAAAGAACACTAGCAGCTAATGGGTTAACCCTGTTTTTTTAAACCCACATTTGGGAAGTGGAAGACTGCAAGGTCTGAGCAAACAGGACAGAGTGATAAGAATGGGAGCTAAGGGTCTAATTCCAACAAGATAAAGTGACCCAGGCTGGCTCAACATACAAGCACATACAGACTCTTGATAAATGAAAGGAAAACCCTGAACCCTTAACCCCATACACAGAGGAAGGATCTGGTGGCTCTGTTATGCCATGCTGGCTATTTTCCTGCCAGGTTTTGGCCACATCTGTCCTCTTGGGGAGCGTGGAAGGTGAGGGTGTCACAGCAAATACATACAAAGCTGTTCAATTGATCATCTTTAACTTGAGATGAAACATTTCTATGCTGATGTGAGAACTCTCTTCCAAGATGGCATGCGTGCCACAATGAGCAATGAAAGAAAGAAAGAAAGAAATTCTCAGAGAGAAAGAGGAGTATTAAAACCCAAGGGTTTTTCC